CATGAGTAAAGCACAATGGCATGGAGTTGGACAGCTCTGTGCTAAAAGGAGGTGGACAAAGTATATCCCAGGCACATTACCACCCCTGGGCCTTTGCACTTGCTGTTTCCGTTCCCTGGGACACTTTTCTTTCAGATAGGTGCCTGGTTGGCTGGAACTCTTCCTTCAGATCTTTGCTTCAATTTGTAGGAAAGGGAGAAATGTCCCCTTTTCCTCTTAGTTCTTCAGGCTGTTTGAATAATTAAAATGATATAAGATACATTAAGAGGAGAAATTAACTAAATTTAATTACATATGTATGTGCAGGGGTTCCATAAGATCATGGGGCTGGAGGACAAATCGGGCAGTTAAGGCTTATATATCATCTTGAGCTAAGGAGAAAGTGGGGTTGACTTGGGACTTCAAAGGGGAAGAAGGCAATTCACATGGAGCTAGAAAAGCAAATGTTTGGTAAACAAATGTTTGCTGGGCCATTTTTAACAATAGGACACAGACAGGACTTTGATCTAATAGGTCTTGCTGGGTTCTTCCCTGTCTATTATACCTATTTCAGATTAAACTAGAGTTATCTATAACAATAGTTCCCTTCTTTGAGTAGGATCTCTATCTAAATTTTTTTAGGTAGTGAGAGAAAAGGTCAATTTCTTCCTGAGTCTTTTGTATATTAAAAATAACCAACTTAAAATAATCAGTATCCCAAAGAGGCATATTTTGGGGTGGCAGTTCTGCTCTCCTTCCAATATCACCTCAGAGAGGGCTTCCTTGACTTCCCTATGAAAAGAGCATCTTGCATCCTTCTCTAACCCCTTATTCTGTTTTCCTTTAGAGCATTTATCACTCTGGTACCATATCGTATATAGGTATATTTGTTTCTCTATTCATTTTCTGTCTCCTCTACTTGAAGATAAGCTAGCTGCACAGAGGCAGGACTGTTGGTAGGACTGTTTGCTTTGTTTATAGCTTTATCCCTAGTACCCGTCACAGTGCCCGGCATAAAGTATGTGCCTTATAAATATTTCATGAGTGAATGAGAAAACACTTAGGCAGTACTGCAGTGGGTTCTGAGCTGGTTCCTGTTGAAGACAAAGTGCTATTGGATATACAAACAAATAGGTAAACTCTATCAGATTCTTTTGCCTGGTTACTTGATTTTTCGCTGTTTCACATGCCTGCCTGTGATTTATTTCCTTCAAAAAAGAAAACTTTTGTGATCCTAACTCTTCTCACTTTATTGCTTATTATTTTTTACCCATACTCATTTCTTCATTTACTTATCAAATATTTATCAAATTCCTGCTATGTGGCAGGCAGGTGCTGGGGATACAAAGGACACCACTGACCTGCCCCCGTCCTCATGAAGTTAGATGAGTAAGAGAGAACAGTAAGCCAATGAGCAATTCCAGTGGAGTTTGACGCTTGAAAATACAGTGTTAAAGAGGTTTGCTTTGGGCACAAAGATACTCATTACAGCCTTATGTATAACAGCAAAAAATCTGTCAAAAGCTATATGTCCAACAACAAGGAAATATACATGCCTCGTGCAATATTACATAGCCATTAAAATGAAGCATATATAATTATATGAGATTATGTAAAGAAAGTAAAAAAGGATACAAAGTTATATTGAAAAATATGGTCCTGATCATATAAAAAGATACATAAAAGACCAGAAGAAAATTCATGAAAATGTTCATGAAGATTGATGGTGGAACTACTAAAAGCATATTAAGTTAAACTGCATGACATTATTGTTTTTGTAAGTCAATGTCATATGGTTCTACCTAATATATTGACGAAAAGAGCCCAAGGCAAACTTGAGTCGAATCTCAGATCAAATGTATGTATCATTTAGTATGCATCATCCCAGTTGGGCAACCTTGGACACATTTACTTGGACACATTAAAATTCTCTCTCAGGGCCTCAGTTGCCTCATCTGTAAAATGGGCATAAAATAGGCTACACCTCAGGGTTGTATTTAAGATTAAATGGAATAATGAGTGTAAGGGACCTGATGCAAAGCAATTCTTGAATAAAGGTGGCTATCACTGTGGATGGTGTTTAATTACGTTTTTTTTTTTTATTCTGAAACTAACAAACAATTATTTAAATTTTCAAGGGAGCTGTGGACTATTCCCTGGGGATCTGGAGCCCAGTCCAGGCCTGGGAATGTGGTTGAAGGCTTTCTTCTAGCCCTGCTATAGCTGGGCTTGGCTCGAAAGAGACAGTGATCCTGAGAGCAGGGCTGGACGTTTGTGCTCTGAGGGACCCTGGGAGCTTTATTTACAAAGCACACTCTGCCTCAGCAGCTGCTGTTTGGTCTGAGCCCATGAGGCAGGCCTGCCTCAGCCCACTTTGCCCCTCAAACCCTGGTCCCTGATCCCCATGCTCAGCGTCCACCTGGTCACAACAGCCTTTGGCATGGTGTGCTTCCCTTAGGAGCAACTTCTGGTTCCAGAACACAGAGCTGAGCTGTTTTGATCCTGTCCAATACCCATGAGCAGGCTACAGAGTTTCTCTTGTGGTGATAAAAAAGTTTTGGAAATAGATAGTGAAGATAGTAGCACAACAGTGTGAATATAATTAATGCTGCTGAATTGTACACTTAAAAATGACCAATTTTATGTTATAGAAATTTTAGCACAATATTTCTAAGAATGAAAAAAAAAAATCCAGGAATGGGAGGACTAACAGAAGAGCAGGCTGATCCTCTGGGGTTTCTGGACATAACCTGGGTCTGGTGGATACTCTAGCAGAAGACCTGAATTTAGGTCCCTGTACTGCCCCTTATTTGGCTCTGGGGTAACTTAACTCCTCTGAGGATGACATACTGCCCTTGGACGGCTGCCAAATGTGATCAAATGGTGGGAAACTGTAAAACACTGTAATTGTTAATTAGCATTATCCTTCTCTCTCTCTTTCCTTCCCCACAAAGAAAGGACAAACAACATACAATTCTTTCTTTCTTTCTTTCTTTCTTTCTTTCTTTCTTTCTTTCTTTCTTTCTTTCTTTCTTTCTTTCTTTCTTTC